AAACTGAGCTACGCAGTCAGGTCGGTTCAGGTCGATTCCTTCAATATCAATACTGAGGTCGGAGGTTCGATTCCCAGCGTGGCCAGGCATATTTTTTAAGCTTGCCCGGTGTGAATATACACTCAGAGAAACATCACAAACATTATATTCACCTGAGTACATTACACCAACACAGAAAAATTAAAGATACGTGTTTAACACTAAATCAGTTCCCTCAAAAATTTCTTACAAATCCTTCAAAACAAAGAATTCACCCATGCAAACTTCCCACTGTGATCACAGAAATTTTGATAGCATAAACCAGGCTTATAGACAAGGAAAACTTAATTTCTAAAGTGTGATAACCAGCAAGTACGACCATACCTTGTCATTGAGCACAATCCTTTGAAAAATACTGTAACTAGTGCCAGGCTCCAGCGGACCATTATAGTAATCACTCGAGGTTAATATACGTCTTCGTGATGTTGGATCACTTGTATTTCTGCCATCACCAAGCACAAACTTGTTTTCATCCTTTGATGTCACTATTGCAGCGATATAAGGTTTCGGGTTGGTTGATTTTTCTGCCTCAGCGTACGTCACCAAATCATTATTTTTATAACTATCTGGGGATTGAACTTTTTCTCCGTCTTTCAATTTCAGAGCCACGACGTAGAAATGCCTACAAACAAATTTGTCTGTGATAAAATGCACAAGGTAAATTCACAGAACAGGTTTCAACGTCCTGTTCAGGTCGTTATTGCAAGATACAATATTTCTGTTTGGCGAGTTTTCGAACCTTATCGACTTACGTGAAATTTCGTGATGGAATTCGCAAGGAAAAAGTCAGTGTATATACTGTTCCACTTGTGGACACCTCTGGTTGTTCTATATGAAAATATGTAGATTTGATAAAACATGATAAACTACAAGCTGCATGTTTATAAAGATCGCATTACGTCTAGATGCAAGGCGACACTTACTTCCATTGACAATTTTCCCTTCACTTTCACTGTAGATTCCACGCCCACCTTTAGTACTTGCAAGAACACGAACATAATATTTGGTTGAGGCAATCAAATTGTCGATGACTATCATCTTTTTCTTTGTAGTGTATTCCCTAAAACAAGGTTTACTTTCTTCGTGTGAGATACACACAGTATAACTGGCGATAATACCATTTCTTTTGTTCTTTTCAGGAGGTTCCCATGTAACAAACAATGATGATGAGCTTTCTCCAGTCACTTTGACATTCAGTGGAGGACCTTCTGGAGCTAAAAATCAAATCAGATAATAAGGTAATCTGTTTCTTATAAAATAAAATATATTATTATATGGCTTTTCAGATTCCTGGATTCTGATTGGTCGACGTGCGGTCCGTAAAATGCGTATCTGGACCGTGGACCGTATGTCGAGGGTGAGAAAGGGTTTTCGTGAGTCGTGAATGGTCAATATTTGTTTGCGTGAAATGTGAAATGCTTGATTTTAGTGTCGTGAAATGTGATTTGTTCTACAGCCGTGAGGCGTGATTGTCGATAAAAATGCTCTGTCAAATGAGAATTAAGGATGTCTGTTTTCGTGAACTGCGATTTTACTTTGTTTATTTCGATCTATTTTATATTAGTCATAATAGACATGATACGCGATAATCAATTTATATGATCTCACTCGATTGCACAAGAGTAAAAACTTCGGAGGCTTTTCGTAGGTCGTCAAACATACTCGTCACTCCAACTTCTAAGTTATGATGTAGTTTTTAACTGACAGGTTGTACCATGCATTAAACATACTCTTAATAAACCTATTATTATTATATCATTTTATTAGAATCTAGTTTTCCGTGAAATTGCTTTTTTAAGACACGTGAATGGTGAAACGGCATGTTTTTACGTTGTGAAACGTGATTCATACCCCCCCCCCCTTTCCCACCCCCTATGTCAATTTGACAGGCTCGAATTTGAAACTTTTTACACGTTTATAAGGTCGTTATGTGAAGAAAAAGTATACTTGGATCATTTTTAAGAATAAGAAGTCTTGGAAATATTAATAAGTAGTTGTGCCAACACAAATTTCATCGAAAAAGCTAAGAAAACAAGCCATTTGAACTCTTTATACTGGCAACCGTAAGTTTTGGCGGGAAATTTTTTTGATTTGTTTACTTGTTTCAAAAAATAAATAAAGATGAATTTAACGTCTTTAATACCATATTCTAAACAAATATCATATAAACTAAGTTTATAAGCATTTTTTCTGGGGGTGGGGGTTACCGAAAAAGTAGTTCTAAAACGATTGTTAGACATGCTTTTCCGTAAACAATATTCGGTGACGAAACCAAATCTAAACAGGGCCGTAGCAACCGGGGGGGCTGGGGGGGCTGCAGCCCCCCCCCAATAATTTGCTAATAATCATTCTTTTTTCAAAATCATGCAAACTTTATCATTTAATCTGTGACAAACTGCAAAGAATGAAGATATTACTCATACTCCAGATCGTTCCTCGCGTAGAAATTTTAGCTGAATTTCTGTCGCGCATTTTCAAGAAAATCCCACAAAATCTGCACATTTTTGATGAACTAATGATTTATTTTGTCTTTTGCGTGTTGGGTCTTGCGAAAGAAAACTCTGAAAATGCCATTTCAGACCATCTAGAGACTCCAGATTTTCGAAATTTTCTCAAATGTTCTGCCTTCATTTCCGCGCAACTGCCATTTACGACGAAAATTCCCGCCGCGCATTTATAATACTACAGTCTGGCCCATACTTTCCTGTAAATTTCGACATACTAAAACGCTGTTTTCGGACTATCAGAATTCTGTTAAATCTTCCCCCAAAGTCCAGGAAATGGCATTTTAGAGACTCTAAATTTAAAAATTTCCTCGGGCCTTCGGCCCTCGCTTTCAGCCCCCCCAATCGAAAAGAGCTTCCTACGGCCCTGCTAAACGAAGAAAACTTGCAAATAAAACATAGCTCAAAAATATCTTTATAGCGTTCAAACAAATATATGAAACCATATAATAAACGGTTTATTAACCTCGTTTTGCTCGGTCTGTACGGGAAAGTATTTGCCTTCGGTTTATCCGCACAGACCTCGTTCATTCGTCGCTCGGTCTGTACGAAAACCTTAGGCAAATACTTTCCCGTACAGACCTCGCTCTCGGTTAATAACCCTTTACTAGTTATAGGTGTATGGGGAGGAGGAATGGTTGGTATAATAATGCGTGACAATTCTGCTGAATCTTAGCCATGGTTACGATAATATCCGAAATATCACCATTCCGTGCAAGAGTTGTTCAAATTCCACATAAAATGGGAACTCCCCTAGCAGAACCATGCATGCAGCCACGCTGCAAAAATAGACGTGCTAGAATAATGTTGAATGTGAGCAGTGACGTAATTCATTCTATTTCTTTGTGTGACTTGGGTTGTGAACCACTCAAAACAGAAAGAAAGAAGGCTAAAGCAAAATGATGTATGAAGTATATTAAATAAAATGGGTCCCAAATCGCTCAAAAATCTATATATCATATCAATATGAGAAAAGTAAACTATCATCACCTTCGGGACATTTCAACTGATCTTTGTTTACCAAAGCCTCGTTCTAATAGCATGAAAAATAGTTTCATGTATGACGGCCATACAAAGACCGAACAAAATTATATTCCGAACGAAAATTAGGGAATAGCTTTAAATTTTCTTATTTTTTGTCTATCTATGACCATTATTAAGCGCTATATGCTAGCTTTTCATCGCCATTGGTTACTATCGCATCTAAACTGCATGTCATTATCCATACATACCACACATCTCTTTTAAAGGTGTTGATGTATTAACACATTGATATTCAAAGTAAAGATATTTTGTCAATCCAGAACATGGTCCACCAGAGAACAAGTTGTCATCCACAGTCATATTACACTCATGTTGACCATCACATTGTTTCTTAACAAGACACGTTGCATTGAGTTCACAAATATAATCATCACTCAAACCACATGTTTGTGTGGCAGGCAATCCACGGTACGATGCATTCTTGACCACCATGTACTGATCTTTAGGACAGTTGGCATTCTTTACCATATTTCCATGACACGTCACTGAACCTGGAAGAGAACAAAAATTTAGAAATGACGAGCATTAAATGACAACATAAAGTACGGCAAGAAATTTTTTGAACGCCATAGCGCGATGTAAACGCGAAAGGTTTTTCAAAGAAATTCAGTACTAGTATTATATGAAATATTTGGAACAACTATAGAGTTTTTGCTTTTGTGGACAAAGTTAAGACGTCAGCAGTTCACGATTGCTCATATTCAAGAGGTAATTGAATCATTCTTATATGTTTATGAAGAAGGTATAAACCTTTTACTATGTACATACATGCAGATAGGTCTTAATACAAATGGTTTACGTCTAGCCTCTAGGCTGGCTTAGCGGCAATGGTGCACCATGGGTGACAGCTTTAAAGTAAATATGAAAAGCAGACTGCAAAACCACAAGTAGCCTATAAGGAATAAGTAGTCAACTTTTTATGTGGAAAGACATCAAACAAATTGACTGCATGCGTACAAATAACACCAAACTTACCAAAATTAAAACGTTTATCCTCTGCATCGTTACAATTTGTCGTTAATCCGACGTAGAGATCTATTCCTTGATTTTCAATTCCGCAATTTGTTGAAGGAACTACACACCACGTCTGAAATGTGCTCTTATCATAGCCTTTATAATATACAGATAAACCTCCCCAAGAGGTCTGGGTTACAGCATGTTTCTGAACACAATTATTTGAAGGATCTGTAGCAACGAACATATACAACATATCAAGATAATAACCAAAGCCACCCCTAAATGTTGCCTCGAAACATCCCTTTTTTTTCAAATTGAACATGGCACCAGTATCACGAAATCGAAACTGTGCATCTGGATCCAGACAGTTATTGGAAAGTTCCACAAAAGATAACTTTCCCCAAGTCTCCTCCGATTGTAGTAGTCTTGTGTCATTTATACACATCCCTGTCTGTACATGTTTCACAAAGAAGCAAGCAGCGCCTGAAACAACAAAAACAAATCGATCAAAATAAATAACGAAGTGTATAATGGATTCCTATTACGTGTCTGTGTTTTTGCGTTTATATGAAGTACCATGTAAATAGATGGTTGTTGTGATGGTACAGTGTTTTTAATACTGGGATAATTAGCACTACAAATATATAATTTAATTAAATATATTTTCCAAACTATCCCACTTTTGTAAGCAAATTTCATAATTATAACATGACTGTATACACCAGTTACAGATACAGTATTTATACCATCCATCATTTTATCATTCTAATCACATATACAGCTTATATCGAATTATATTTGCACAGACAAAGCATATAAACATGCACTCAACTATGGTAGGCGAGCAAGCCCAGGTAATCATCTTTGTTTGCAAAATATCCAGCTAGTGCACGGTTATTGTTCAATAACTCAGGCAATGTCAAGCAAGACCCCTGTCACAAGGCATGCCTGCTCATTTCCATATAAAATAAAATGAAATAGGAGATACCACTGGAAGTTGCAACTTGAAACAATTACCTTTCATGTAAACTCCCCCTTAGTTTTCTAAGTTCTAACCAATGTTGCATCACTATTAGAAATCTCATTAACATGCAATTATGCTCTGTAATTACATGCAGAGACTGATGCAAGTCTTGATCCATTCAGAGTTACTTTCCACCCACAGTATAGTTTTATTTTTGGTATCCAATCAAAATGTGCCAGAAGAAATGTCAATTTCAAATAATAACAACAAGCTAAATATAGTTATATATACAATCACTAATTGAGATGAAATTTGCCTCAGTAAAGCAAGCTGTCAAGTTTAGTATTTGGGCTGGTTTGCCTCCAGACAAGCAAATCTCTGTAAAATGTCAAACTCCCCCCCCCCCCACCAAACCACTAACATTTTTCTGGTCTTTCTAGAATATAGAGCGATAACAGTAATAGATACAAACTGTAATTATTTTGTTATTACATACAAATCTATATATTAATTGTGGACCCCATTTTCCACTTTATACACTTCCTGAAATGAACAATTTACTACAATGTAAAAATATAGAGAAATTTAACTTTAATACTTTAATAATTAATTAGAGCCCTCTGTTTGATCGAGTTTCACATAACATAGTGGGCATAAGATCCCTTCCATTTTTCCTCTTGGTAGTTATTGGTTCGACTGTAAATTATTTGTTCTTCGTCAATTTCGAGGGATTTCTCTTCGCAAAGGATCAGATTAATCGGGAATAATAGTCTCATTTGCAGATCCTTACCGCCATGACTTGAATCGAATGCCTCGTTACCTCACAGTAGATTTGAATTTGCAATTTGCGAGCGCCCACAATCTACATGCGATGCATCGCTCAGTGGCCAAATCTAACGTAACGTAGGGCTCTAAAACAATAGATTTGATGATGTAACGTTAGATTTCACGCGGAAAAGGACTTGGGACCGATGCATTCACTGATGCAAAATGGATGCCAATCCAATCTCGTTCCCCGGGACTGCGATTTTCAGAAAGGAACGTGAGACTCTGGGATAATCCATTTCAGGGAGGAATCTGATTGGCCGTTGATATGGAATGCGCAGTTCAGTCCTAGCCAGGATTCCTGGCTTCCGGCAACGGATTATCCCACAGCCTCGCGTTCCTTCCCGAGGATCGCAAATTCACAGGCTCGGGAACGAGATTGATGCCAATCGAATCTAACGTGACGTAGGTGATGCATTTGCTTCAACTGTGACGTCGAAAGATGCGGTAAAAAAATAACATATTTTGTCGCGAAAATATTGACGCTTAAGTGTCGCAAAATAACAGAAAGTACACATTTGCGATCGCAACGTCGCATATTGGACTTATTTTGACAATTGCGACTGTTATTGCAGGGGCAGATCCAGGGAGTATCGAGTGTAGCTCAAGATACGGTCAGATTCCCTCGATTATGGATAGTAAAATAGTTTTGGGGGAAAATTCACCATTAATATATTTTCACGCAATTCATTTCTGTTTACAAAAAATAGTGAAAATTTGAGTTTACTAAGATAAAGGAGGGCAAATTCTTTCGCAAATTTGAAATTTACAGCTCTAAATGTAACATTAGCCGTGTTTTTAAAGCATTGAATTCTTTTCGATGAAGATGAGCCGAGAGCTTTCCGAAGGCATAACCCAAGGTTACATAACCCGATCAGGAAAATGTTTTCAATGCGTCTGTGGTGTTCTGATACGGTCCGCGATTCAAATGTTACTAAGAATAGTAACTTAATGAGGTATTTGGATACCTTGGAGGGTATCCAGCCTGATCCGATCAAATGAATACATTGCCCGTCAAATCGTATATTGTTTACACTGTTTTTATTCGATCTATAAATTGAATTACAATTACAAATTTCTTCTAATTCTACACTATACATACTCTAATACACAAATATAAACTTACTTCTTGGCGGTTTAACAGATTTTATTCTACATTTGCTTCGTATCTTTTACTAAGCACACGGCTTGTCCTTATGATATTTTCGACTCATGAAACATGCAAACTGTCAATCATATCCATTGTTTATTGTTAACTAATTAACTTATTTTAACTAATATTACTTATTTTATCTAACGTCAACAAAATATCAATACACTCTCCGCCCCGATGAGAATGTAATTCTCACACTAAATAATCATAGTTCTAGTTCTCTTTCTAACCTTCTTCTGGATAAATAACAGCAATTCTACTTACAGGTCTCTCATATTCTCCAGAACATGTCTTCACTCTGATGCTTCGAACCTTACCGTCTTTGCCAGAAAACACGTTTATAACTTTGCCAATTGTCCAGCTTCCTCGCACTGCATTCGCGTTTTCAATCACTACAACATCGTTGACACGAACGTTTCTTCTATCTGCATTCCACTTTTTACGGGGAACTGACGCTGGGAAAACATCTCTTTGCCAAAATTTCCAAAAATCATCTAGTAATCTCTGAACGAACTCAACACGTTTACGTGGATCTCGAGTTTCCTTCACAGTAACACTTTCTGATTCTTTCGAATTTCCTGTTCAACTTCACCGTTCTCAACAGTTGATGAATCCGCTGGCCATTCATGTTCAGGTAATCGAAGAATTCTGGACCTCGTTGCCATCTCCCTGTCAGACTTTGCACAGGAATCCCACGAGACACCTCGTCGGCAACATTGTATTCTCCGGGTAAGTATCTCCAGGTAGCTGGGTCGGAATTACTTTGAATCTCGCTTATTCGAATCGAAACGAATGGTTTAAATCTTCCAGCTTCACCGCGAATCCATGCAAGAACAATCTGACTGTCAGAAAGAAAATCGTTCTTTCGAATTTCAACCGGGTTTCTTCCAAAATGGATTTACTCAACCGAGGGGCAAGGACTGCTCCTTGTAACTCTAAACGTGGGATTGTTAGTTGCTTTAATGGGGATTCCCTCGACTTTGCTGCGATGAAACGTAGGCCAAAACTTCCATCCGCTAATTTCCATCGTATGTACGAACAAGCACCAAAAGTTTCCACGGAAGCATCCGAAAACGTGCATAAAACGGGTTGTTCAATTGCATTCAATGGTGTAAGACATCTTTCAAAGCATTGGACGAGCCACAAAGAGTAATACGAATAATTTTTCTTGACTTTAGAAAAGCGTTCCATCTAATTAATCATAATATACTGATAAGAAATATGAAAGAGATGGGAGTTAGATTGGCCTTAATCCAGTGGTTTGGAACATACCTCAATAAAAGATCCCATTTTACTAAATTTGGGAATGATATGTCTGATTATGCATATATCAATGGCGGAGTGCCACAAGGAAGTAAACTCGGACCAATTGCCTTTGTAATAAAGATTGATAAACTTCCCTCTGTAATAAAAGAAGAAATTCAACTCATGATATCAACCAACATGGAAACAATGTTGTACTTGAACATGATACATTAATGTTTATGGATGACACTACATTATACGAGGTACTAGATGTCAGCCACCATATTTCTGGGAAGCAACTGGGTGGTGCTGAAAGTAAAGTTAAGAGCGTTTTAAGGTTTACTGAAGAAGATATGATATGGAGTTAAATCAAACGAAATGCAAAGAAATGATAATTGACTTTCGGAAAAATGTAACTGTTATTCCACCGCTAGAAATCAATAGTCATGTATTTGAAAGGGTTAAATGTTACAAATTACTTGGTTTATGGATTGATGACAATTTGAAGTGGTCAACCAACACATGCTATATTGTTAAAAAATCGGTAGAAAGACTGTATTTTCTGAAGATGTTAAAAGGTTATAAAGCGCCAAAGCAGGATTTAAAAGCCTTTTATATAGCTGTCATAAGATCGACACTTGAATATTGTGCTCAAATTTGGCATGGAAACTTAACCAAGGAACAGTCTACTGACATAGAACGAGTTCAGAAGCGTGCGCTTAGGACAATTTGTCCTGGACTGACTTATGAAGAAGCATTACTGGACTGTAACCTTAAAACATTAAAGGCTCGCAGAGAAGAGATGTGCGGAAAACTTAAACACAATGATAGACCCTAGACATAGATTACACAGTTAATTGCCAGAAACAGTTAATCAGATAAGACAGAGACAAACTAGATCAAATGGAGAAAAACTGTATAATTTTGGATATCGAACTGAACGATTTAAAAATAGCCCAATTGTGTATGGGATTGAATGTTTTAACCGAACGCTGGAGTCGAAGTAAATTTATTGAATTCTTTCAAAATTTTTTAAATTTTTATTTAAGATTACTTGTAAATATTGACTCTTAATTTTTTTTTATACACTTTAAATGTAATTCACATTGTAAATTAGTATTTAGTATTTACTATTTAATGTGAAATTCTAGAAAGATTAAAGATTAAAGATTAAAGATAAGCTATTCAGAAATGACAGTTCGTGAAACAGATTATTCCAGAACTCTTGTAAATCAAAGGGAAGTTCGTCATCCCAATCAAGTCCTTTCTTCCACAGATGTTGCATTGTTGCATGCCAATCTTTGCATGTATAAGAAAAGCTGAAGCTAATCCGATGGGATCAAAAACACGCGCCATTCGACTAAGAACTAACCGCTTTGTCAGCTTTTTTGGCTTCGTACTGGCGTTTTGGTTTTCTCTTGTGTGGAGCTTTAGCTTATCATTTTGATGGTCCCATTCAAGTCCAAGAACCTTTTCTATCGGATTTTTCTCTCGATCAGACTTCAGAACTTGTTTTTCCGATAATTGGTTTTCTTCACCCAGATTACAATGTGATATCCAATCTTTCACTGCAAATCCACCTTTTGCCAAAACCTCGTCTACGTCACGGGTAAGCTGCCGAGCTCCTCATTTGTTTCCAGTGAATCACAAATATCGTCCATATACGTGTTGTCCTTCAAAACCTTTGCAGCTTTCGGGTACACTTCTTCTGATTCTTGCGCGGTCTTTCTCAGAGCAATCTGCGCCATCGCTGGGGCAGGCTTGTCGCCAAACGTCAAATCAGTTTTCACATAGATGTCGGGATCACGTTCAGTTTCCAAGTTTCTCCAGATAAATCTATGCATTTGCTGATCAACTTCCGGTATTAAGATACGGTGGTACATTTTCGAAATGTCCCCTAAAACAGCAGTTCGACTTTTACGAAAACGGAGTAAGACACCAAAAAGGTCGTTCAAAACATCGGGTCCTTTCATCCAATAGTCATTAAGCTTATGTCCTTGATAAACTGCAGATGAATTAAAAACAATCTGTAGAGGAGTACTTTTGCTTTCGGGTCGTAGGACTTCGTGATGTGACACATAATGCACCGGGCCTTTGTACTGATCAAGCTCTTTTTCTGATAATTTTCTCGAGAAACCGAGTTTATTCATGTCGACCATCTCTTTATCATATGCGGTTGCATATTCTTGATTCTTCAAAAGTCGTCGGTCTGTCGCCTCCAACTTCTTTTTCGCTTGCTCTCTATTATCTGGTAATTCGTATGGATCTCTTTTCCACGGATACGATATAAGCCACTGTCCGTTTAACTTTTCACAAGAATCCTCGAACACTTTCGCTTCTTTTCTTTCCCATTGACTCGGTGGACCTAAACTCGGTCATGTCTACGAGTGTCGCGAACTTCACGTGATTTACTCTGCTGGTTCCAAGTTGCTGACTAGGTGTAGCACCGAAGATCACCCAACCTAGAGGGGAATGGCGTGCCACAAGATTTCCTGCTTCTTTCGTTTCTCCGGTATGGAGCTTCGCCTGATCGATACCAATAAACAAGTCCGTATCACCAGTTCCTCTTCGAATGTCACCTCTTGATAATCCAAACTTTCTGATTACCTCATCTATTTTTACAAAGGAAATTTCATCACTAACAGAGGGATTTCCAATGGCTTCAATTGTGTGACATGACTGATTTTCTAGCGACTGAACCGTAACACAATATACTTTGGTGTGTAATTCCTCTTCTTGACATCCTACTTTTATAAGAGTCACAAAAACGTCCTTTCCCTTTAGCTTTAAATCTTTGGCGAGTGACGTTTTAATTAAACTAATCTGAGCACCGCAATCTAATACCACGTTTCCTTTCTTTTTTAGACCATTTATAAACCGAGAATGTTCACTTGTACAATGGGAAGCATTGCTGTTTTGTCTGTTGTAAATGTTCCAATCTTTGCAGCAGGATTTGGGTTCTCTTCATGGAGTAGATTATGATGGTTGTATTTACACTGGTTACACTGGGCACTGACGTCTTCTGGAACAATTTGATGATCTGTGGTCTCTACCTGCACGCTTAAGACAACTATAACGGGCATTACTGTCCTTTACAGCTTGCAATCGTTCACTTTGATTCATAGCTGAAAACTTTCTGCATTGATCAACGTACGAAATGGTTGGAACTCTTGCATACCCAGCATTTAGGGTTACTTCCAGATATATCAGCATTGGAACTTCCAACCGGACGCCTGGATTGCATACTTCTCAGAGGCGCTGTAGCTCTCATTCTTGTTTTCATTTCTGTTGTCATCCATGTGATTAGATTTTCTAATGTAGCCTCTTTTCCACTGCTTTCCAAATGGCGCGACCAGATCTTCCTGTCATTCATGTGCAATTTCTGTTCAATTATTGCTATCATGTGATTGTTATCCATGTCAAACTGTCTGTTGACTGTTGACCGTGTTGTAGCTTCTTCTAACCAGTTGGGTTAAATCACAAAATCTTGAGTCTTCATCTTCACGAAGTGGTTTGAATTTTGAAATGTCATGGGTGACAGTGTCTGCGACCAATCTAGGGTCTCCATATATCGAATCTAGGTGCTCCCATGCAGCATCGTAGTCGCTACCAATTCCTTTTATCAGCTCCAAGGGTCTTCCGCTAAGGCTCGTACGTAGCAAGGACATTGCATCTCTTTTACCGTACCTTCAATCTACAGCATGTTTAAAATCAGCTCGAAATATGACGTAATCTCGGACGTCTCCAGCAAATCGCGGCATCTTGGGTCTTTCCATTTTGAATCCACATGGTGTTGTGGCGCTTTGTTGAACATTTTCTTGGACATTATTACTCGATTGAGCATTATTTTCAGAAGTTTCTTCTTGGTTGTTCACATTTACAGCTTGCTGTTCAGTTGCCGAAGTTTCTCCGACTGTTTCCGACTGTTCAGTGTTCGTTTGGGCTTCACTTCCGTTATTTCCGCTACTCGCTTCCGGTTGTTCAACACTTCCGCCCAATGTCTGTTGCATGTTTTTATTCATAATATAATCATTTGTTGTACATTCTAGTTGAAGATACGCATCCTGACTTTCTTCTAGCCATTTTTCCTCTGTTTCGAATTCCTCATCATTTTCAATGTTCTGGGCATATTCTTCATGTTTAACGACTAAATCATTATACGCCTGTTTCACCTTAATTTTGCAAAGCTTCGGTTATTTCGCCTGGGGGTCTATCGTTTTGTAGTTTAATTCTCAGCGTTTTACTTATACGGGTTAGCGCGGCTTTAGCAGTTCTACGTCTTAGTTTCGCTTCAGATAAAGCTTTCGCTTCAGCCATGGTTAGCTTCTGGTTAGCACACAAGTTTATCTTCGTTTATATATTTCTTACGGACGCCAGGTTAGCATTGGAAATCGAATTTGTGGTCCGATGAAATGAATACATTGCCCGTCAAATCGTATATTGTTTACACTGTTTTTATTCGATCTATAAATTGAATTACAACTACAAATTACTTCTAATTCTACACTATACATACTCTAATACACAAATATGAACTTACTTCTTGGCGGGTTAACACATTTTAATCTACATTTGCTTCATATGTTTTCTTAAGCACACGCCTTGTCTTCATGTTGTTTTCGACTCGTGAAACATGCAAACTGTCAATCATATATCCACTGTCTATTATTAACTAATTAACTTAGAGATTAATATTACTTATTTTATCTAACGTCAACAAAATATCAATACACAATCCCAGAGAAAATTCTCTTCTTTTGAATATATTGATGTCACCCTGAACTACCGTAATACTTGCACCAGAACGATTGTCATTTATAGGCCACCGCCATCGAAGACTAACAAACTAAGCAGTTCAGTATTTTTTGAAGAATTCTGCATACTTGTAGAACAGTTGATCATATTACCTGGCAATATATTAATAGCAGGAGACTTTAATTTCCATGTAGATAACATTACAGATCCAGATACTACTAAACTCAACAGGATACTGGAAGGCCACACCTTAGATTTGATTATAACAAGGAATGAATATAAATTAGTGACTGGTATCAGAATACATGATCCAGTAATATCAGGTCATCTTGCCATACATTGTACATTAAAATTAGAGAAACCACCATTGGAGCAAGCTGAAATTTACTATCGAAAATTAAACAATGTAAACATGAATAGTTTCAATGAAGATCTAAAAGTGCTAGATTTAGATGATGATTATGATTATGATCTCCCGGTCCTTATTGATAAATTTGAAAATACGCTGAAAGAAACATTACAGCAACATGCCCCACAAAAACGACGAATTATAACTCTCCGTCCTCTATCACCATGGTACAATGAAGAGATTGGTCAAGAAAAAAGAAATCGCAGGAAATTAGAGCGCCGCTGGCGCGCATCTGGATTATGTATTGACAGACAGTTATATGTTAAACAATGTGAGACAGTGAATGCCATGATAAAGAATGCTAAGACAACATACTATTCATCGGTTATTTCTAGCAATGCACATAATCAGAAAGTGTTATTTAGTACGGTTGATAAATTACTCCATCGAAAGCCAGAAAAGCGCTATCCAACTGCGTCATCAACGACAGAACTCGTGAATAAATTTGCAGATTTCTTCAGTAATAAGATTACTACTATACGGCAAGAACTAGTCATTGATTCTTCCCACTGTAATCAGCTAAATCAAGAGGAGCAATATGTACAATGCGCTAAATTCATTAACTTTCAAGAAGTCACGGAACATGAAATTAAAAATATTATTGATATAGTTGGAAAAAAATCTTGTGAACTTGATCCAGTTCCCACAAAAATCTTTCAAAGTCGTCAGAAGACTCTCTTACCTATAATTACTAAGATCAGTAATGAGTCACTTCGGTCAGGTTGTATGCCTGGAAAACTAAAAGAAGCCGTGTTGGAACCAAAACTAAAGAAAGATTCGTTGGAATACGAAGAATACACAAATTTTAGACCTATTTCAAATTTAAAACTCCTGTCTAAAGTAATTGAGAAGGCCGCCGTCGGTCAGCTTCTGGAACATTTGGCTAATAACAACCTAGAAGAACCTTTCCAGTCGGCATATAAAGTTAACGTTTTCATAGCGTGGAAACAACCTTATTATTACGATATTCTTGTGGCTATTGATAATCATAAGTGTGTTGTGTTGTTACTACTAGATATGTCAGCAGCATTCGATACTGTTGATCACGAAATTTTATTACAAAGAATGTTCAAACGATTTGGGATAGATGGACAAGTATGGAAATGGTTTCAGTCCTATCTTCAAAATAGAACGCAAAGTGTAGTAATTGATGGTGTTAAATCTATCTCTAAAGACTTGAGCTGTGGAGTCCCACAAGAATCAGTTCTCGGACCTATATTATATTTACTATACACTTCACCCCTTGGTGATATCATCAGAGGTCATGGTCTTGACTTTCACTTTTACGCAGATGACTCGCAATTATATCTCGCTTTTGAGTCAACCACTGAAGAAAAAGCGGGAGCACTGGTACAAATTGAAATGTATGTGAAGGAGATTGATTTGTGGATGGTCAAAAATAAATTAAAATTGAATGGGGACAAGACTGAGTTACTAGTAATCAATGCACGAAATCGTTTATGCCCTGCTGTACACCATATAAAAATATCTAAGTCAATAGTTCAATCAAGTACTTCAGCACGAAACATCGGTGTAACTTTCGACCAACACATGTCAATGGATAAACATATTACCAACATTTGCAAGAACTGTTTTTTCCATTTGAGGAAAATAGCAAGAATAAAAGAGTACTTATCAAAATCAGATATCCAAACTCTAGTTCATGCCTTTATTACATCGAAACTGGATAATTGCAACTCTTTGCAATACGGACCACCTAAATTTCTTATGGATCGGTTACAGAATGTGTAAAACTGTGCTGCTCGTCTGGTGACAGGAAGCAGAAAATACGACCATGTTACTCCATTAATGAAACAATTACATTGGCTCCCCATTAGTCAACGCATCATCTATAAAATTGTTCTTATTACATATAAATCCCTGAATGGTGCTGCTCCACATTACATTAACAATATGCTAAAATCTTACACACCATCAGCAAATTTACGCTCTTCATCCAAGGGACTGCTCACAATACCCTCAGTAAAATTGGTTAACTATGGCGAACGATCGTTCTCATATGCGGCACCGAAACTGTGGAACGAACTACCAGAACATGTTAGAAAGAGTGAGACCTTGCCTATTTTTAAAACTAGATTAAAGACACATCTTTTTAAACAGTGTTATGACTAAGTACTATTTTAACAAGAGTATTACCAATTTTATAGTATTTTATATAGTTTTGTTTTAATATTGTCAACATTTATAGCATAAAGTAATTTTATATTCATAATGAAAAGAACACTGATATAGTACTTTTAGTATAGTTAATGTATGTATTACCAACCTTAGTATTATGCATGTACTTATATATAGTATATATTTTTAACACTTAATGTTAAACGCTATTGAGCTACAGGAAATGGCGCTATATAAATGAGTAATAATAATAATAAAAATAATAATAACATAGTCAGGCGTAAATATATATGCCTCTAGTTTTGCGAGTCTTGCGAGAGGATTTCAACAACTCGGTCGCGGTTGATTCGATTTTGAATTTTTTTACTGGACAGTGTTACAAAACTCAAGATGCCTTGTTTCTGTGTTTCAGTTAATGCATCGCCGTGATATGTTTGCTATATTGCCAAGACGGGGAATTTCGTGTGCGTGGCTGTCTAGTAATCAAGCATGTCAAGACAAGATGGGAGTCTTTATAGGCCTATTTATATCGAGGCGAATTACCCGGCAAGTGGAGTTTCTACTCGTCAACGACAAGATCCCGGCTATATTATAGAAACTTATACAGTATAGTAAATCCGGGGGACTGAGGACTGTTTACATGTAGTAAAGAATATAAACTCGCCAGTGAAGAGTTCCCGGCAGAAAGAGGCGAGATATTGCCTTCGGCGAGATGAATCTTTACCATATTAAAAGATGTTCGGGTATTTGTTAACTCGGCCGCCCGAGATCGAATATATGTGTATAAATGTATGTGCTTTGCATTTGAAATATAATATACTGTTCAAAAATACATACGAATCATTAGATAAGTTCTATTCGCCAATTGCAGAGTAACTCGCCTCCATATAAACAGGGCCTTCGAAGGCAAATATTTGTTTGTATTATATGATGAACAAGAAATGCTCCAAAGTTCAATCTACCGAGGGGAAGATACTTTTACTGTATATACTAAAATACCCACTGTGAATAACAAATTCACCACAAACTCGACAATACTCGTCTCCGGCGCTTTTTTGTAACACTTTTAACAGGTGTACGGTCTAATGCCATGTGGTCATATAATATTATTCAGTTTATTTTACTATAAAGACTCGCTAATTTTAATTTTTTGTTTTGAAATTGTCACATTCTGTCGCAATTTCCATCGCTCAAATGTTCGGTTGAACACGCCCAAATCATCATCAGTCAAAAATAAATACGTGTCCTATTGGCTAACGTTTGATTGACATGCGACAGTTAAAACAGTAAAAGCCATAGAAGTGTTCCAGAGGTTCTTCCCGCTCGCCGCCTCCCAGCTTGAATCCTCCTGTATCCCTCATTATCCCCCTACGAACGTGGAAGAACCTCTGGCACCCAGGGTAAAGTTAGGGTAAAATATTTAAAATATTGGTAAATTCAAGACCCTAGCTAGCCTTTTAGCTCTTCACGATTCGCGCCACGCATATTAATCACGATTCACGGAATGGCATTTCTTTAAATCACAAATCACGAAGCACGAATAATTGCTAATCACGAGTCACGAAAATATCCTTGCCCCCACCCCTATATTTGTATATTTTGTTTTATTCATTAAAAATTTATACTAAAACTATTATTCGCCTCAAGCTCAGTGATTACGGTGAACATTCACCTCGATTTCGTCTCGGTGAATATTCACCGTGTTAAGCCCGTATTGTTACACGATCTCCTAATTTAATACGATAAAAAGGAGCAAGTTATACGATGATAAGGGGCAAGTTATGATTATTGGTGGGTTCTAGACGCCGGAAAAGAAACACAAAACAACGTGGCCAGGGGCGGATTCAGCGTTTTAATCTGACCGTAGCATTTTGGATGAAATGAACATGGGGGGTTTGGGGGCATGCCTCCCAGAAAATTTTTGAAATTTGAAGCCCGCAGTACCATTTCCCACATTTTGGGGCCGGATTTTTGTGGTGGCGTGCGGTGAATTGTGGGGGCGCATCATCATTAGCATAGACTGTGGTGGCGCATCATTATTAGCATACGTCATAATTATATGCATGACGTCACGCGGGCAAGTTTGGACGAGATCGTGTGAGCGTCCCCCCACGTCCCCCACGAGCGTCCACCCACGTGAGTGATACAATTGAGGGATTAAGATTGACTTACTACGAATAGTTCGAGCCGCTCACATGGCAAAATTGTTATCGAAATTAATATATAGCAGTGTTATAGTCGTATCTTTCCTCGGAAGAAATGAATTTCCACAGGTATATTGAAGGATTTTTCGTATGTTTACAAAATTATAGCGAGGAATCTATTCGTCACAAAAATCGAAACATATTTTAAACAGAACTAAACAGTTGCTAATCCCGGCTTAACATGGTTGTCAACGTCGTTGTAGATGCCACTATGGAAAAAGAAACGATCATGGGTCAAACCATTCCTGTAAGAATAACAACTCATAACTACAATTACAAGAGGTTTCGGAATAAATATAAAACGTCCGATTTTAACTTGGTTAAAATTCCACTAGATGAAGCTGTTAAATTTGAACATGTCCCAAAAATAATGCTGTCTAATGTCATGTCACTCGTTCCAAAAGTTGACGAAGTTCGCGAATTTATTCACCGGAATCAAATCAGCCTGGTATTTATCACAGAGACCTGGCTTAAAGCTTCTATTCCTGACAGCGTGGTGAACATTCCCGGTTTTTCAATAATACGTAGGGATCGAATTAACAAATCCCATGGTGGGGTTTGTGCATACGTTAATAACCGAGATGTTAAATATAAACAGATTTTAGAGTTATCTTGCTGCCAGGAGCACGAAATCCTATGGCTGCACCTTAGACCTACTCGTATTTCACGCAAGTTCTCATGTATTATCGTAGCTATAGTATACCACCCCCCTGGAGCAAATGATTATTCTATGAGAGACCATTTATTCCAGTCATTAAAAAAGGCAGAGTCAAAATTTCTAAACTGCGCACTTATTGTTGCAGGTGACTTTAATCGTCTTAATGTTAACAGAATCAAACATCATTTTCAACTGAAACAGATAGTTCAGACTCCTACCTGCAGAAATGCGATTCTCGACATCATCTTAACTAATCTGCACGAGTATTATGAAAAACCTCTAATAATGCCCCCTTTTGGACTATCCGACCACAATACTATCATTTCATCTCCAAAGGAAAGAGCTAAAGATCTAATCTCTAATGGTACCACCTTTAAGCGTAATATTAATCCAAGTTCCAAACGAGCCCTGGGAAGATATCTAAACTCGATTGATTGGCCTCAAATTATTCCATCTACTAATGATTGTGATCAGTTATCGAACATGTTTCAAAACATAGTCCTTACTGGGGTTAATATATTAATGCCGATGACACGATCAAAGAAATGTCCTGTCGATGCCCCCTGGATAACGAACCATTTCAAATCGCTGATCATTGAAAGGCAGAAAGCTTTTTCTACCTATGGCCCTGACTCGAGCAGTTTTAAATCTCTTCGAAACCAAGTAAATCGAGAAAGGAAAATCTGTAAATCAAACTATTATAAACTCCGTGTACATCAATTGAAACAAACAGACTCCAAGGAATGGTGGAAAGAAGTAAAGCGTTTAAGTGGAATGGCATCTACTAGATCTAGTGATATTAGAAATATAATAGATATTGAAAACCTCGAACAATTATCTGAGCAAGAATTAGCTAACAAGATCAATGAAGCTTTCTTGGATCCCTTATCTGTATATAAACTGCCCAGCCCCCTTCTTCCTTTCGAGCTAGTAGTTAACAACCCTGAGTTTTTAGTAGTCACTGAAGAAACAGTGTATTCATATTTATCAAAGCTGAACCCTACCAAAACTTGTGGTCCTGATGAAGTATCAAATTGGCTTCTTCGTGATTATGCAGCTATATTAGCGTTCCCAATTAGTACCATCTTAAATGCTTCCTTCAAGCAACAACGACTTCCATCGATGTGGAAACTAGCCAATGTTTTACCTATACCTAAATCTAAGACAGTTCAAATCTTAGAAAAAGATCTCAGACCTATCTCACTGACCCCGAGCATATCCAAAGTAGCTGAAGAATGTGTGGTAAATAGATATATCAAACCTGCGATATTAGACAGTCTCCATCGTCATAGAAAAGCGGCGGCTAGTTATAAGTACTTTTTAGTCTGCCAAGACCACTGGATGCTATTTCTAAATATTATTTAGATCTATTAGATCAGTGCTGGTATGTATATTGTATATTAAGTCATAATAGTAAAGTCAAAATGAAAATTTCGATTTATAGCATACGCCATCTTGAAAGCATTACTCGGCAGGCGCTCTCGCCTGCAACCCGCATTTTCCGAACCTGCCCGAAATGCTCCCTAAGCGCCTGCGGAGGAGGTAGCTTTTTCGGTGCTAATTTAACACGACATAAATAAAAATATTTTGCAAAGTGTTAATTTAACACTCAAATTGTTTAACACCACTTTAGAGGTGTTAAAATAACACCCACTTAAGGACAGGTGGTGTTAAAATAACACCGGTTTCTGGTGCTAAATTCTTGGTGTTAAAATAACACCATAAGTGGTGTTAAGAATTTGTATTCCCCAGTGTTAAATTAGCACTGTTTGTGGAGTTAGAACATGGGTGTTAAAATAACACCTTTTTGGTGGTGTTAAATTAGCACGCAGCACGAGTGTTAAAATAGCACCTTTTTGGTGGTGTTAAATTAGCACTGAGCACGGGTGTTAAAATAGCACCTTTTTGGTGGTGTTAAAACTGTTTGTGCAGTTAGAATAACATATATTCTTAAACTAAAACACTTTTACAGTATAACACGGTCTATAAACACACGTTTTGAGCCTGGTCTACCGTCACAGGCTAGGGCTGGCCGATTACAGGTATTTCGCCAAATTAATTAATTGGCAAATATTTATCCGAATATTATTTACTGTTAGCATGAAACAGCCGCATATTAATTTACTGGCAAATTATAAACCATTTCACAAATGAAACATTTGAATTCAGAAGTTAATACTTTTAGACATATAAATAATAAATTAACAGAAATAGTTCCCATGTCACATGCATGTGTCATGTATGTTTATGCATTTCATCATACAGATTGGAAACTGGCAAAATTGGACCTCAAAATATCGCATTTCAAATATTATAACACGCTATAATTTGCAGCAGTAGCAACACAATATGAAGATAACACACAATGAAGCCGAAATATTTGAATATTCGCGCGCCGCATGATCGAGCTTTCAACCAATGAGGATAGCGCCGCCGTGAAATCTAATACCTTCTTCTCACATCAATACTGGCATTTATATAGTTTGTGGTCGTTTGTATGGGAATATATCTGCTATTGTGGTGCGAGGGTTCTATTAGGATTGCTTCTAAGTGTCAGTGCGATGGAAGCGATACAAACTGATTAAAATGGCTTTAGTATATTCATATTTCAAGCATAAAGATGGCTTTAAAACAGTGTGAGGAAGAAGCGAGCAAGGTTGCTGTTTGTATTTGAATGACAAAGGTCTGGCCGCCAATGCAATTCAAAACGTGTGGTTCACAGCGTCAATGCTTTAGAATTAGTTCGCCTGTAACTTCAAAGATGTGATAAACGTCGAAAGGAATAAGGTGAGTTATTATAATACTGCGAGAATTATAGTGATTGTTGTCTGCGATTGTCGTATTTATAATACGACCGCCATTATGCTGAGGCTATTCTCATTGCCATTGCAGTCTCAGTTAAGAAAACTTGCGCGCGTTTTGATTTACAAGTACTGTAGTTTTGTCTGATTTATCTTGCGTTTACTGCTTTCATTTCAATTATAAAGACACGTATTTTAGAACCTGAGATGGAAAATCGGGAAATGGCTGTTAAATGCCCAACCTCAACTATATCATGCAAGATTTTGTGCATTCTATTTAAATTACGCACAACAACACAGACCAACAATACTTTATTCATTAAATTTCAATGGCAAACCGAAACGGTAATGTTTTATATTGATTACTGAACGATGGAATTTATTTTATTAATACTGTCTGTGAGATGAGATACAGTATACACTACACAGCTGGACCTGAGCTGGTGTTTCATGAATATTTTTGCCAACTCGAATTTTATATTTGATTTTTAACCATTAATTTAAGCTGCAATGTTCCCAAATATACCTTATTTTATTGTTTTATTCTGGCTAACGCAGACAATTTTTATCTAATTTGCCAAGGGGATCTTATACCGTAAACCTCCGACTATAAGCCCTGGGCTTATATACTTTCGTAAGCGATTTTTGATGGGCTTATACAAGGGGGGGGGGGGTATATACGCGGGGGACTAATACATGGATGATCTTTTGTGTTAGTAATAAACAAATCAGACATAAACAAGTCAGTCATAAACAGGAAAATATACATCCATTAATAACGTGCTTTGATTAACATAACATATAGTCGGCTATAAAGACAATGACAATGTTTTTAAATATCGTTCTCTGCTATATTAAAAGACAATGAAAATGTTGAATAACGTAGTGGGCTACTGGGCTTATATTCGGGGGACTTATATTTGGGGGGCTTATATTTGGGTGTGCTTATGTTCGGGGGGGGCTTATATTTGGAATGAATTGAGCGTTAGTATATGTGGTGGGCTTATATTCCGGGGGGCTTATATTCGGGGGGGGGCTTATAGTCGGGGGGGGGCTTATAGTCGGAGGTTTACGGTATAATGACAGAGATAATTTTACCTATCATTGGGCTATCAATGGGAGAGTCCTGAGTATTAATATTTAAGAGTGAAAATATTGATTATGATATAATGTTCACATTATAAAATCCCCAAACATAATTCTCTTTCTCGACCATGTCAAAAGATACACTAAACCTAATAAGTTCTTATTGCAACAGATTCTCATTTTAAAGTAGAATAATTGCCACATGTAGCACTTGTTAAGGTGAGATAGCACATCTCTTATCCATCCAGGACAAATGACCCATTTGACACAGTTAATTAACACTATAATGGGGGTAATTTTTCTTTCTTAAAATGGCAATGTATCGATATGATTTTTCAATGGCAAAATGCAATTGGACTGTACGGGCCAGTCTGTACCAGTGACTAATTATATAGTTAAGCTAGGTGACACTTGCTCGATGGCTTCCCTGTTAGATACTGTACTCCTTTTGAAAAATATTAATTGCTACATGTAGTGTTAAGGTGAGATCATGGCACATCTCTTATCCGTCCTGGACAAATGACCCATTTGACACGGGTAACATTATAATGAAGTAGTTTTTCATTCTTGAAATGGCGATGTATTGACATTATTTTTCAATGGCAAAATGGAATTGAGCTGTAACAGTGATTAATCATATAGTTAAGGGACACTTGCTCAATGGCTACCCTCTGTTATATACTGTGCATACTCCTTTTGAAGCAATTAAAATTGCTACATGTAGTGTTAAGGTGAGATGGCACATCTCTTATCCTATCATTGCATGTGATCAATGCTTATTTGTCTCAACATTCAACAAAGAGATGGTTTGCGCTCTAGCTAGCTATCTCACTGACAATTAGATAACGAGTAGCGTAAAGCCAATCAGAATACAGCATTTGCATTAGAACTTGACAACATTTAAAATTACTAAATATATATACTGTATAGACTAATGTGAAAATGAATACTTTTAGGATGACGACCCCATTGTCCATTGATGAAGAAGTGAGGAAATCAACCTACAGTATAGCTATCCTTGAATCTTGGCATCAGGTGACATTGCATCCTTGGACCCATTTTACATTGCTGCCGTGGGGGAAATTTACTTGCGTTTTGCTGGTAAAAATATTCCACATATGCTACATTCAATGTTCTAAATATGGAATACACTCCAGGTGTTTCGAGTGTTTATGCATTTCTAGAATTTAGAAGCTGTCACCTTAAACCGCCCTGCTGATGCCGAGAACAAAATTTCTGTACAACAACTTTTAAGTGAGCTTGGACTCTGAAATTAATCGTGATAAATACTTAGTTCATATAAATTCATGCATGTTAAAGATATTTCTTATTTATAATAATAACCAATTTTGAACCTATATTTCTCTTTTGTGTGTGTCTTAATGTGCCTGGTTGAAAGTGTTAAATCAACACCTTAAATCTGGTGTTATTTTAGCACCAGATAGGAAGAGGTGTTGCTTTGGCACTGCCAAATCAGGTGTTATTTTAACGCCACACTATAGGTGTTAAATCAACTCTTAAAACTGGTGTCACTTTAGCACTTAAAAGTGGTGTTAGTTTAACACTATAAACAGGTGTTAAATTAACCCCAAAAACTAGTGCTAATTTAACACTAAAAATGGGTGTTGTTTTAGCACCATAACTAGTGTTATTTTAACACTTTTTTAGTGGTGTTAGAATAGCACCAAAAAGTAGTGTTATTTTTTACCTAATTTTTTAACACCACTTTTTGGTGTTATTTTAACACCCTAAAATTAACAGTGTATCAGACCTAACACGATAATTGATTGTATCTCGTATGAAGAAGCCAACACCACAACCAGATCTATTCTATGTTTGCCAACCCAAGAATAACCGTATACCAATATATTAGTCATACTGATACTAGTCATGTAAGTTCAGTACAGAAAAGTAAGTGTGACTGTCAATATGGACTGTTGGTCGCTGAACTTGAGGGGGCTAATGTAGATCTAGTTATCTTGCAAAAAAATGTCAATACTAATATAACTTCAGCGCAGAAAACGCATGACGATGAGGTGGCCCAACTGAAATACATTTACGCGAAGGAAAGGGAACGGTGCGAGCTGCTCGAATCGGATATATCAATATTAGTGAGGGGAAGAGATAGGAAGATTAATAACGAACTAAATAACATCATTGTGTCACTTGAAAGTAAAGTTGAATCAATGGAAGCGTTAAATCATCGTTGAGAAAATCAGTTAGTGAACAATCAACAAAGTGTATACAAAACAATTACGATATGAGCAAAACAAGTGAACATGGAAACAATTATGCTAATTCGAAGCCTTTTTCCACGTCTGCTCTGATGACCTATTCATAAAACCTTCAAACAATATGGAACCCTCCCCCCTCCCATTACCAAATTACCTTGTCAAAAAAGAAACCACTACTAATCACGGAAGGACCGAAACAATATGTCAATCGCGCGAAGTTCCAGCCGAATATCTAAGGCATAACAATAACCAGCTTCATCAGAATCGACAAAACTGTTCATCCCAGAACCTTTTGCCTAATTGTAAAGACAAACCAAGTCTGATTAGTGTCCAAGTGCAAAACAAGCGCGATAGCAAACCATGTAGTTCACAAATAAAATCGCCTGAGAAACATATGTACCTCTCACGGCACAAATAATTATGATAAATTGAACACCGTACAACAACGTGCCGTCCGTCATACAGCCTGATAACCAAAACGGTTGCCAAATAATACATTCCTGTTCGTATTACTCAAAGAGGACACCCAAACTCGACGCGTATAGAGAACACTTTCGGAAAGCAAGAAACTCCAATATTGCACTCAATTCTCGTCAGACAAAAAAAATGACGGTTTTCGCGTACACACCCGGCGGAAGGACCTAATAAACTGGTTTAATCACTACTATTAGAGGCCACGGCTGAGCCAACCCATTTTGTACCTACACTATGTTTGACTAACGTAATGTCACTGGCTCCAAAAATTGACGAATTGCTTGTTTTTCTTCAACACGACAAAATTGATATTTGTTGTATTACAGAAACCTGCATGGCTTAAAGACACAATAGACGATAATGTCATGAATATTCAAAATTACTATTGCGGTAAGATAGAATACACGCCCAACACGGTGGAGTGACCCTTTATATAAAAGATAATATTAAACTCGACAGATTATATGAGTATGAATATGCATATAATAATCACTGATTGAGGTCCTTTGGTGCAAAGTGCGACCAAAAGTCGCCTTCCCCGAGGTTTCTCAGGACTAATAGTATGAGTATTATCCCATCCACCATCCTCAAATGACGACAAATGGAAGAGTATCTGTTGGATACCTTATCCAATAATCTTACTAACAGGAGACTTTAACAGGTTAGATGTAAGTCAAATGATCAATCATTTCCGCATCAAACAGCTGGTTCATTTTGCCACTCGAGGAGACAATACCTTAGATTTGATTTTAACGAACTGGAACGAGTATTACTTAAAACCTGTTAAAACCTGTTAAGCTTCCATGGGCCCTTCGGTCTATCCGACCACTGTATAGTTACAATCTATCCGAAAGTAAGATCTAAATGTGTAAAACCTTTTTAAAAAAAAATTTCATTAGAGATATGCGCTTGAGTTCCAAACAGGCATAGGCGTCGAAAGATCGATAAATGGGGGGACCATATTCATATATTCGTGTTCTGCATTATTAATTTCTTTTGAAAGCGATTGTTTTTAAGGTCTGTGAACACGAATATATGAATATGGTCCCGCCAACTTATCGATCTTTCGACGCCTATGGAAACAGGCTGTTGGCAGATGCTTACTCACATTAATTGGTCAACTATTGATATTCTCCAGGATACTGAAGAAAAGTGTCAATTCTTTAATAACATTATACATCTCGGACTGGACACAATCATGCCTGCGAAAACTATAAAAATACATACCCAGGACGCTCCGTGGATAACTGGCCATTTGAAATCTCTTATTCAAAAACGCCAGAAAGCCCTTTCCCAAGGTTGTCTCACCAAGTTTAGATTTTATCAAAATCGGTTTAAACGCAGTAAGTCCGTATACCATCAAACGAAGGTAAAAGATCTCAAGGATACTAAACGAAAGAAATGGTGGGCGGAATGTAAAAAAATATGTGGAATGAATAAACCAACAAAAGATATCGTGAACTTGTTACTTTCCAACGACTCCCCATCTTATGAAGATGAACTGAAGTTAGCAAACTAGATAAATTCCGCCTTTCTTCGACCACAACAAGAATATACACCCTTGTCGCAAACAAATAAACTAGACACCACTAATTTCGAACTGCCTTCAATATACTCCAATACAGTGTTAAGGCAACTTTGCCTGGTCTCTGCATCCAAGGCAAGCGGTCCCGATAATATTTCAAATTGGATGCTCAAAGACTTTTCAGATATTTTGACCATGCCTCTCTGCAAGATAATAAATTCATCCCCCGCTGAGAAACAGCCACCTTGTATTTGGAAATGTGCCAATGTCACACCAAAAGGCAACCTGATAAACTGCATGGTCATACACGTGGGCACAAATAATATACGAAGTTCGACGCCGCAGAATATTGCTGACGAAGTTACTAAAGTGGCACACCAGTTCAAACAGGAATCGATGAAAACAAGAATAATTATTTCATCCTTGATCATTAGAAGCGATAATCCTGAATTTGGAAATAAGATAAAAGAGATCAATGTTCCTTTGAAACTGAAGTGTGAAGAAAACAATTGGTCGTTTATAGATAATAGTAAAATAAACAGTTTATATTTAAATCGCAGGGGCTTACACTTAACTCATGAAGGGAGTGCCCTATTACAGGCTAATATAGGAAATGTATTAAAATGATATGATAAGAGGCTGAGGGAAAAAGATAATGAGACAAATTGGTCAAATATTCCTAAATTAAGGGGTTTTAGAATGGCTATGCTCAATATAACTAGCCTTCCGAAACACCTTGACGAAATTCGCCTGCTATTGCATGATAAAAAATTGGACGTCACTTGGCACTAAATGAAACTCGCCTTGACTCCTCTATTTCGGACGACCTTATGAGTATCGAGGGTTATGATATACTGCACTCTGATCGAAATAGTGAGTGTTTCATTTTTTCGAGTGTTTATGGACCACCAAATACTACTGTTGAGACCTTTTCAAAAATTGAAAGGCTAATTCAACTAGTGAATAATGAAAACAAAGAAGTTTACATGTTAGGTGATCTGAACTGTAATCTCTAGCTACTCGATTCAAATTTGTCGAATGTTAAAATGCTTCAGGAAATAATGCAACTGTACCAATTAACACAAATAATTGATCATACACGTGTTACTAAATGTACAAAATCAATACTTGATGTTTGATTACTTCCTCTCCGGTTAAAATTATAAGGGTGTAAGGCGCCCAAAATGGCTGCCACGCTGTTGCGAGCTCTGTGTTTTTTAGCTTTGATTGGTCTTACTATACATTGTTTGGCTAATCCTATTACATCAACAAATAGTAATGTGGATGTATTGTATCTTTTGCGAAATTCATGCTGGTCTGAAGTGTGTATGGGGAGATATCCTAATTTGTCCTCCGTTGTTATTCGTGTGAATTGCATTTGGGACTCTCGTAGTAGAATTGGGTTTTGTATCTCCAAATGGTCTAAACATGGGGAAACAGTACTGGCTATACCCGCTCACAACCCTTCAATAAATGTTACGATATGTATGGATGTCCATCCTAATCCAGGACCTGCTGTTAACGAGGTAAACGAACACAATTTGGGTAAGAACTCTGTAAACGACAGACATTTTCAAACTACACCTTCGTCTTGCATGGGTGGTTCTGTGATTAACTTTTCTCGCTCACAGCTTATTAACCTTCGTTATGAGTCTAATTTTCCAGTTTCTTCAAGATTATTGGCCTTATTAAAGAGTCATATGCTACTTAAATATAGAGGATCTAGAGCTGGAAAAAAACAGCGAATTCGCCAAATTTTTGTTCAGGCTGGTCATAGAATATCGCACAAAAGGAATTATAATCGGTATGCAGATTTTACTAATCTCACCCATATTCACTGTCTACCATTATCTAAAGTTAACAGTCAAAAACCGGCGGTTGAATCTATGACAATGGCATATGTAAACTGTCGTTCGATAAATAGAAATGGGTTTAAGCTAAAAGATTGTGTTGTTGATAATGACTATGATTTAATAGGTATTACTGAAACGTGGCTGCCAATTGAACAATCCTTATCGAACCATATAATCAGAGACTTTTGCCCAAAAGGCTACAAGATGGTTCATATTCCACGGAGTTCCAGCCAAAGAGGTGGCGGTGTAGGTATATTGCACAAAGATACTCTTGACTTGAAAATTACTGAAACTGTGAACACTTTCGCCTCATTTGAATGTATTGAACGGCTTCTCAAATTAGACTCCACGTGGATAAGAGTTGTTGTAGTTTACCGACCTCCTGTTTCAAGTGTAAATGCCTTGAGTGTATCGATGTTTTTAAGTGAGTTTTCGGTTTATTTGGAAAATCTAGTGCTGTTACCCGGCGAAGTCCTTATCATGGGTGATTTTAACTTTCATACGGATGACTTGACGAACCATAACGCTTGTGAGTTCTCAAATTTATTAGATACATTTAATATGTCGCAACATGTTAGTGAACCTACTCACCAGTCTGGTCACACACTTGACCTACTTATAACGAGACAAGATTCGAACTTAATAAATGGTATATGTGTCCACACACCTTGGATAAGTGATCACAGTATTGTGCAGTTTAAAACCACCACAAAGAAACCGAGTGTTGCTCGGAAAACAATATCTTATCGACGATGGAAATCACTTGATGTAAACCAGTTTCGGCAGAGTATAGATGATATTGACATTCAATCTGTCAACTCGCTTTCTGATCTTGCTCTGTTGTACAACAGTGCCTTACGTGATCTTTTAGAAAAACATGTTCCCTTGAGAAGTAAAACTGTCACATTACACCCACAAGCTGAATGGTTTGATGCCAAGTTGCTAATAGAAAAGAGAGCAAAAAGAAAGTTGGAACGTAAGTTCCGATTATCTAATTCACCTGAAGATATTCGTCAGTTCAACGAGCACTCAGAGTATTACAGTCACTTGCTAGTTACAACGAGACAGAAATTTTACACAGATAAGATTGAGGCAAATTATGGTGATCAGAAAGTACTATTCCAAGTGTTAGATAAACTTTTACACCGTGAGAATCAACGTCAATTTCCACCGCATGATAATCTTGATAATCTTACAAATATGTTTGCGGATTTTTTTGTCCGGAAAATTGATACAATTCGCTCTCAACTACATTTGGCTACTGTCGATAATCTGCTAGGATTTGAATCTTCCTGTGAGACCGTTGAAAAGTTGGAATATTTTAGTTCAGTTTCTGAGCATCAGATTGAAAACATTATTCGGTTAACTAACAACAAATCATGTGAACTTGATCCAATTCCAACTTGGCTCTTGAAGCAATGTATTCCTGTCTTACTCCCGATTATAACAAAAATTGTTAACCTGTCGTTGCATGATGCATTCATGCCTACCCTGTTCAAACAAGCCTTTTTGACACCAATACTGAAGAATATTTCCCTCAGCACAGATGAAGAAAACAGTTTCAGACCAATATCTAATCTTTCTTATGTCTCAAAATTAATTGAGAAAGTGGTGGATACCCAATTAACAAATCATATTCAGGAACATAATTTAGATGCGGAAAGCTTACAATCGGCTTATAAGAAACACCATTCTACTGAA